TATATATATATATATTTCACCGCGATATCTAAATCACAGCGCCACAAATCTTTAGTTCGTTATCATTTTCCATTTTCCTCATTTAAATAGACAATAATAGCTACAATATGCGAGATATGAGATAACAAATTTCTCGTTATAGATAAAAGAAATTTATACGTTATAACAATTAGGTAGAATATTATTTAACCTTTTATATTATAATAATTTAATTATTGTTATTTGCTTGGAAGCTCACAGCCGACACATTTATTTAATTCATTATTACATACTTTTTTTTGTTCTTTTAAACTGTATTTTTTATTTTATTCATTTTCGGGTATTTGGGGCATCTTTTTTTTTTCTTTTTTTTTCTTTTTTTTATTTTTGTAATAGCTATTTTACGATCTTCTGTTTTTTTCTTTTTTTTTTTTTCTAAATATTTTTTTCTCCTGTTTACGTGGATAATTTACCATTATAAAGAAAAAAAGAACAAATAAATTAGTATATTTTTCCTATTATAGTGTCTCGAAATGCGTGAGAATGTGTTCACGGTTACTCTAATCAAACTATAAGTACTTGGTTTTACCTTGTTTCAGGTAGAAAATCAAAACTGAGAGATGTGGCAGTGCCTTGAGCAACCGTTTTATGAAATCAACTCTATTTTCGCCACCTTATTACCCTTCCGCTTCATTATCGTCAACGTCACTACCATTTTTTTTCTTTGAACACATAACAAATCGCTTCTTCTTTGTACGATAATAACATGTTATTTGTTGTTACCATATATATATTTTTCTTTTTTTTGTTTATTTTCTTCTGTTCTGTTTGTAATCCATCTATCCTACTCTAGCCTTGCTCGTGAGATTCAATGGTTTGTCGAGCCTATCGCGCATAAACATTAAATACTGCATATATAACATATATAGATTTTAAATAATGTAGCATATCTGTATATCTATTAAGATAGAATTTTTTTTTCTTCGTCTCTCTTTTGTTAAACATTTCGATTTTTGTTAAAGAGATATATATATAATATTGTAGCTTGACTTCGAATTTTTTTTCCTCATTTCACTCATTATTCTAATTATATATGCTCTCTTCGATAAATACATGCATATATATACATATTTATATATATACAATATATTTTAGTATATGTATATATATATATATGTGTAATATATATATTAATCGTGTATATCGTTTTCTTTTTATAACTAATATAATAATCTTTAAATATCGTATTTTTATCTTATATATATAATATATATATATAATATATATAATATATTCTTTATAAATGCTTAACAATTTAGTTAATGTTTAATAATTTACCGAAGAGCATTAATTTACATATGGAGTTTATTTAATTATTTTTTCTTCATCTTTTTTTTCGTTTCCGTTTCTTTTTTTTTTTTTTCATATCTTTCGTATCTTTTTAATTTGGGATTTGGGATTGAGATCACAAGAGAATAGAGCAAACATGTTTCAGATATTTGTATCCGTTCGCGCTCATGTTTCTATGCAGTTTTCAAAATATATAGGGATCGTCCGTGAATCAGCATACTTTCCATTCTGTTTTTGCTTGCTTTTTCATACGGCTTCGAAATCGAGATGCATCATCTATCTACCTAATCTATATTTTTATCTATCTATTCTAACCTATATATAAACGCGTACGCATCGTTATTAAACGTACGGTTAGGACCGAAAGAAGAAGAAAGGGAGGAAAAACGAATCGAGCCTGTTTATACATACGTGTTTCTATGTATGTATATATCGAGAAAACGAGTTCAAAGGCTCAGAGCTTGCATCTGATGGCACGTATCGCTCAGCTGACCCTGATCGCCAGCAGGATGACCTGGATGAGTCCTTGGTGTTCCCGGTGGTGTTATAGGCATTCTTCCAACACCAGGTGGAGCATCTCCAGCTCCTCCCAAACTATCATCCGTCACTTTGTTACCCGTCTGCATAATTCCGTTCACCTTGTACTTGCTTTGTCGTAACATTGTCGTGGTGGTTGGCTGGGAACCGGAATTTGTATACTTCTCCGTCGGTTTTCTGCTTGCAGACAACGCAGGAGCGATGGTGTAACGACGCTGAGTATTCGTCTGCTGTGGCTGCTGATGTTGAGACGGGGCTAAGGATGGCTGATAACGGTTTTGCGCCGGATTGTAGAACTGGACCTGGGAGGTGGGTGGTGACAAAGTTGGAAGGGGTCTTGTCATGGGCGAATATGGTGCTGGTGGTGGGCTCACCGGCTTCTCCGAACTATTATTCTCCGTCCCTTGTATACCCTGCGAAGTACTATTCTCGTTTTCGATATTAGTCGCGTATTTATCATTCGATTGACTATTTGAATTGTTACTTCCCTCGGTTTGTCCGCCAATCACCCCATTGTTCCTATAGCTCGTCGTATTTTTACGGGTAGAATAATTATTCGATTTCGCCGTGTTCTCGAAATACTGATCCCCACCAGTGTTATTTTTACGATTATTCGCGTAATCAAAATTCGTTGCCGGGTTGAACATTTTCTGTGAATTCGTGCAATTATACGGCTGTCCACCGGTTGAATTCGATCCGAAAACAGCCGACTTCTGAGTTGAATTATAATTCTCCGATGATTTTTGTGCTACGAAGCAAGCCGGTGAGCCCACGTTCGAACCAGCCGCCTTTTTGTTATACTGCATGGAGAATCGCGAGCTCATTGCCGGCGTCGTATATTTATAACCTCCGTCTAAGTTACTATGTTTGTACGGCTGAGAATTCCCCAAGTTTTGAGCTCGAACGAACGGATTTTGATGCGATAACGCGATCCCGTGATTTTGCGATTTCGAATAATTATTTAGGGTGTTTACGCTGCCGGATTTCGTGTAATCTCTAGAATTGAAGCACTGATTCTTGTTGGTCGAATCAAATAATTGCTGTGATACGGATGGCGGTGTTGGCAACAGACTTGTACCACCGGATGCATTATGAAATGGAGGTGTATGTGTATGAGGAATGTAAACAGCTGCTGGATGATAAACGATCGTCCTACAATGCATCTGATTACCACTGCAATCGTCAGTTTCGTTTAAACACGTTTGGGAACTGTACAAGTTGGCGGTATGTATCGCGATCGGATGATAATTGGTGTAACGACCGGACATGGGAAATTTCACGGGCATTAAGGACACCAAGGGTGTGGCTGACCCTGAAGCAGCCTGTGTTTCACCATGTGCTTGCTCCGAGTGGCTCGATGTCGAACGAGAATCCTGCGATTTATTTTACAGATGGTAGTTTTTCGTGTGTGTTGTTCTTTTCTTAATTAATGAATATATTCGATCGAGTAATATGATATTATGGATACATTTGTACGAGAATGAGAGTTGCATATTAATAATGAAATTTAAAACAACATATTGTTATATCTGTAATAATTTCAAAAATAATTTGCATGCGTGTAAAATGAGCCAATATCAATTAATTATATAAAAATATATAGTTTCTGTTTTTTCCCAAAAATTAAGTATTTAAAAATTATCTAATAGAAAAGTAAAACATATTATAATGAATTTAAATATTATTGATCAAACAAATAATTTTTCATTACTGAATTGTTTCCAGATTGAAATTTATTATCTGTAATTCACTAGAAATGTTCACTAGAAAATTTAAAAAATTACAAAGTAATAAAATGTATGTATTCATGGCTATTTTGTACGTTGTGCCCTATCTTATATAAACCTATAATGTTTCAAAATTATAAGGAGTACAGAGTACTCCTTATAATTTTGTATTGATAATTTTTTATTACATTATATATTTCTAAAAAAAGAAAAAAACTTACCTCCTGAGGAGCAGCCTGACCATCAGATGAAGATGTTTGTTGGCATGTGGCATCAGAAGGGAAAAGTAGTAATTGTTGATCAGTTAATCCCATGGATGCATGTGGTGGTGGAGGCGGATGGGGCCCGGCTGCGAAAGGATAGTAAATATGATCCATCTGAGGAGGCGCAGGACCTGCAGGCACCGGTGGATGATGATGCGGTGGTGGAGCGGCAGGAGGATAAAAATGTGTCGGTGGTGGTGGTGGTAAAGATGGAAGTGGTGGTGGAGGACCCGTCGGTGGACTGGTCGCCCCTGTGCCATTATTACCACTTCCAGAATTACTGTTACCGCCACTTGTATTGTTTTGTGAGTTATTTGTAGGATACAAGTACTGATGAGCTCCGGCGGCAACTGCCCCTGCATAACACTCGTACTACACAAAAAAAAAATATTACTTATTAGAGTTAATTTTTATTAAAAAAAACATATAGGAATAATTTATCTTTAAGATAACAAATATTATATATTAATTGCATGTGTTTTGAAGAATATATTAACGTCAATATACATGCTATGAAAGAAAAATCTTTGCTATTGAACAAAGAGATTTTCAAATATTAAATACCTTACCTTTATTTTTTTTTTTATTATATTATTATTATTATTTTTTTTTTAATAAAAGGCTATCACATAATGAATATTATACATATTTTTTTATATTATCTGTATACAATATAAAAATGTGATAGAATTCACAACAACAAAAGAAAGAAGTCGAAAGATACATAAATGCACGCTTGAAAATATAAACAATATGAAATCATCAATAATGTTACACTGTGATATACACTCTATATGATTTCATTCAATAATACAATTTTTTTGTGATACAAGCATAATAAATGTGTATTTAATGACTAAACTTATGTTCATTTACGCGTACAACTTATATGTGAAATTATTAATATAAATTATAAATTGTGAAAAAAAGATAAGTGATGCATGCATTGATAGGCCATGCAGAAGTTTGACAAAGTAAACGCACAAAGATAATGCGTTGCATGCTAGTCATTTAGCATAGACCATGTACCTTTAGACCTCAATACTGTATAGCGTCGAGAAGGACGTAAGTAGGCATTTGCTGAGGGTTGGGTAGAAACGCCGGTGGTATGGCTTCTCCCATCAAACCATTTGTCTGTCAAACCGCAACCGATTTACCGTTTAATATAAATACAAGCTATACCCATAGACAATTCATATGATAAAGTGTGAACAAAGGACCCAAGATTAAAAAGGAGTAGTATCAGAGAAAGAAGTCGGCACAATCTTTTATTTGTTTATTATTACCTACCGGCATAGGTGAATATTGATATTGTTGTGGCATATATAGAGATGGAGCAGGACACGGATACATCACAGGTGCGAAAGTTTGATGACCAGCAGCTTGTGGCCCTATTAATTAAGATTGAATAGTTTTATTAGTAGAAATATTTTAATTCAATAAATTAATTCAAAATTTAATTAAAAAATAAATTTAAAAAAATAAATTAATTCAATTAATTAAAAAATTATAATTATGTTTATGTTTTTTTGTGAAATTTACCGAATACTCCGGTAGCTTGATAAATAGTTGCTGGATCAGTTGGTGGAGCAATTGGTGTTGTTGGTGTTGGAGCTGTTGTATTGTAAAATGTCATACCATTTTGATATGTCAGTCCCATTCCTGAGCATAAGTAAAAATAATTTTAATAAAAAATCTATAAAACTATTAAAATAAATTACATTTATAAAATTATAAGATATAAATACACTAACCATTTGGATAATAATAAGTACTAGTAGGCACAGAGGGTGGTGATCCAGAACCACCATCCAAAGATCTATTGAAAGGTTGTTTTTTAATTGCAGGTGCTATATTTAATTTTCTTTCCCTTAATACAATGCATTCAGACTACAAACAAAATAATTTAATATTATTATTATTAATTTTATTATTATTAATATTATTATAATTTGATATCTTTGATTAAATTTATATTAAATATATGCATTTATATAAAAAATTTATATATTAAATAATTTATATAAAAAATATGCATTATAAACCTCTTGTTGAAGTCTTTTAGCTTCTTCTTCAGTTTCAAATGTAACAAATCCATAACCTTTGGAGACACCAGCACGATCAGCAATTATTTTTGTAGCCTTTACATTGCCATAGGAAGAGAAAAGTTGAGCAAGTTCTTCTACACTGGTATTAGCTGAAATGCCGCCTACAAAGATGCGATTTGGAACCAAAGTACCATATTTTGGAGCAGCCATGGTGAGACTTGTTGCTGAGGCAGGGCTAGAGGCTGGACTAGACCCCTCAGTTCCACCCGTGGATGCCGAACTCTAAATAACATGACTAATATTAAAAGAACGCTGCTAATATTTATGTATAATATAAGGATATAGTAAAAAAGGATGAAAAATATAGAATAACTTAATAAAAATAAAATTATTATATAAGATTTTTATGTCAAATATATTTATATATTTCAAAATTTAAATGATTTATTTTAAAAAAATAATGAAAGACAATGACCATAAAAATATAAAGTTTAAATAAAAACTTTTATATTTTGTCTTAAAAATTAATAAATTTACTTCTTTAATAAAGATACCAAATAACTAATATTGTTTATTAAGGAAAAATATAAACTTGAGGGAATTTCTGTATATGTATATGACATTTAAATATAGATACGAAACTTACTACGCTGTCAGTGATCCGAAAGTTTGCAAACAAAAACAATTCCTCGATCTGCACATTAAGATCAATCTTTTTTTTATAGGATGATAAATAAACATAGGTTATGCTACATTATCCAGGTATGAAAGTATTAGAAAGAAGCACAAAAGAGTTGTCAACGATATGTATCAAAATCGTCATAACGACCGCTTTAATCTAACACTACTTAAAAATATTGACAAGTGAGAACTTTACTTCATTTAATAAGTAAAATTCGCAACAGTAATTACAAATAAACGAAAATATTTGACAAAAAAATCAGTCTATACAATTGCTATCTCATACAATTGTAACATTATATTTGCAAATAAAATGTACTCACGATTCGAAAAACGAATTTGTCAGAGGGTTAGATGAAAATCTTCGTGTAAGAATGCTCACCATCTTCGCGAGAGTCGGGCGTGTAAATGAGCTTTTTGGCCGTGAGGTTGTCCTAGCAGCTTGTAGGTACCCTGGCCTCGCACGAGGTCACCTGGGTGCCCAGGGACTGCCAAGGACCGTTGCAACCACTTCAAAAGGACTTCCAGCCTCCGGCGAAGCTGCTGTTCCTTCTCGCTAAACCTCCAAACACTACAGACACTTTTACAAGATGGCGGTCATACGCGCTGTTTAAGGCGCTAATTTTCTTGATTTTAAATTTCCAATTCGTCAAACACGTCCAGACCTTCAGCCTCGTAGATAAGAACTCAGATGTTTCGGAAGAGAGAAATAAATCTTTAAAATTTCTTACAGTATAATAATAGTCTATATAATGATATTTATCAAATCAATTTATCTTAAATAATACACAATAGATCTTAATTTTCTAAATCACCATTACTCTCATTACGAAAATTTTAATTATATTTAGAAAATTTATTTTTAACATTGTGTTTTAATAATACAAATATTGATTTATATATAGTTATATAATGAAAATTTTAAATTATTAATCATAAATATATGAATATTCATGTTTTAATATTAAAATCTATATCTTTTAAATCATCAAGTTTTGAATAAATTTAATTTTATCATAATGGCGGTGATTGATTGCGGTTACTATGGTTTATATAAGTTTTTTTTCTTTGCGAAACTTACCTAATTTTTAATACACAAACATTCGAGGAACTGCTTCTCAATGAGGAACATGATTATCTATGAACTAGTCCTCAATGAATAACCGAATAAAAACACTGAAATTGAAACGAGAAACGAAAACGGAAGAAAAACTAAAATGTGCTTCTTCACAGCATTGTTGACTTCGAAAGACTGAAACATTCGCCGCCGTACTGCTCTTGTCAATATGAAATTTATCATTTTATCAATGTTTTAACAAATTTATTTTTTTCATGCTTATTAATATTATAAATTTATTTAGTAATTTGTATAATGAATTTTTATTTTAAAATAAACAAATACTTTTTAAATTAATATATTTAACAATATGTGATAACGCTGCTTTGAATCTAGTAGTATTAGCAATTATACGGATATTTGATGTTCAAATGTTATAAGATAAATAACAAATGATGTTTGAATATACAACCTAAAGAATTTATATTATTCATATCTGCATACATTTTTTATTCTTTATTCAAAAATTATTTATTTAATATTATAAATTATCATGCTATTTGCTATTTATATAATAAACGCTATAAACTAATAGATACAATTAGATATAATAATAAAAAATAATGTTATGTATTTGTTGTATTATGTAAAAATTTTATTAAATTATAAAATATTTATATATATACAGAAAATATAGAGTAAATTATTTAAAAAATTTTAATAAATTTTAATTTGTATACATTATTTAATCTACAGATGATAAATTCATTGCAGAAATAATGAAATATTTCCATTAATAATTTGAAATTACACCTGACGTAAAATTTAAATTCTGAAAATTTAAAAAATTATTCATTATTAAAAATCCTCATTTTCTGCTATTGCAATTTTTGTTTAAATTTTTATTATATAATAATAACATTTATAAATAAATGTTAAATAATTTAATAAATAAATAGTAAGTAATTAATATTATGAAAAATAAGTATTATTTATTATTTATATCGGGATTTATTATTAACTTACATGTTTTCTATGCATGGCAAGACAAAAAGTGCAAACTTGCCGTCTTGTTTGTGAATCAGCCCAATGATTTGTTTCATAAACACCATTAGTACCCTCAACACGTAAGCAGGGTTGATCTATAGGACCGGCAACAAGAATAGCACCCAAATGACTGATGTAACTGCTTGCTAATCTCAATGTTTCTATTTTCGATAATTTTCTATCCATAGGTTCCGTTGGTATTAAAGTTCTCAAGGCACTGAAAGCCGTATTCACACTGCACAGCGAAGATTGGATTTCTTGAATTTCACGTTTGAATTCCTTACCCTTCTTAAGAGTATTTGTGAATTTTGCATTATTGAATGTTCTCCTGAACCAAAAGACGAATATCTCGTTTACACATTGGTCAAAGCATTTAGAGGTTTTTAATTTTGCAATTATACAATAATACCTTAATACAATAATACTCAAATTATTGAATAATTACCTCTAATTACTTTGAATAATATATCATTGTAATTCAACTTTTATATTCTGTATCTTTCACATATAATATTTTATATAAATATAAATACAAATACATAGTTAAGTATTATTTTATTACCATTGTCATATTAAAAAATAAATTTTCAATTTTTTATAAAAAAAATAAAAATTATTTAATAATAATTTTCACCTATGAGTACGATCCCTCTCACGTGCATTAGCTTGATAACGTTGTTTTGATGATTCTTCTCTCTTTCGTGCAGTCATAATGCACTATATCGCTACTAGTTAATCGTTACACAACTACACTTAACTCAAAAAAGACATCCGACTATATCGGTGGCTCATTTTATAAGCGACTGAGTTGTCGTGTCTTCCTTAGTTTTCTTCAGAATTCCCTCTTTTTCAATGTGTTGCCTTTAACTCCCACCCTATCCCTTCCCGTTATATGAATACACATGTGAAATACACGTGTATTCGATTAGGGGCGAATGAACCACTTGTATAAAACTTTGCTAGGAAAAACAGAATGCATTAATAACAATAATAATTACCTGAAATATATATAATAAAATAAAATTAATAAAACATATATACTTATATATTATTTTTTTATACATAATAAAAAATAATTTTTAATTTTGAATTTTTCAATATACAATAATAATAAAATTCCTTTTATAGATAATAATAATCTTACTCATTTCTTTACAGGAACTAAATAAAAATACATAACAAAATTAAAAAATAAAATAAATTGTTTACTAATAAAAAAAAAATAATAAAAAATATCTAATACTGACAATGATTCTATATATGTATATAATATGCAAATTATTTAAATTTATTAGTTTAAAGTTTTCATTAAATATATATCTTGGCAATTATTCTTTCAAATATTCACTAAACAATTTGCACTTTCGTAACTATATAATAGGAAATAGTTCTTAAATGGTAATATAACACTCATTTCCTTTTACAACCACAAATGTATCAATATACATAGATATGATGATTCCTACGTAAAATGGTCAGAGCTGGGTTTCACATTACGGTCAATAAAAACCGACAACCGGTAGAATGAGCAAGAAAAACAAATACCATGTGTAAAACTAATTAGTCTAGTCTCATGTTAGCATCTGACTGATTTATAACTGTCTTTTTTATAAGTTCATTTAATGCAATAATATAGGATATAAGTTACTATACACGAAAAAATAGTCTTTTATAAGACAGGCATTTATTTCTGTTCAGGGAATCCAGTGACAGGCAAACTGGTAATAAGAAATTATACAATGATTTAATCTTTTGATTACATAAAATTCTCATTTAACATATTCTTTTCCTATTTCTTTGATAACAGATTAATGAAAAAAGAAAAAAAGGAAACGTCTGCTTGAGATTATGTTATATCAACAGAAATGTATAATTTCATCACCAATATTTGTATGACATAGGAGAAATATATTACAATTTCTTAAGTGCAAGCAAATAAAAACATACATTTATCATTCAATATTTGCACAATATTTTTCATTCTAAAAATCATTTCGAACAATCTTTACGATTAAAAAAAATATGATAAAACTGGACGTTCCTATGAAATATTTTAGTTAAATAACTAGATTACACTGAATTAATATATATATAGCAGAAAATTTACATGTTCGAATGGTCGTCAGAATAAAAGATCATTTCTTTTAGTATTTACTTTTCTTTTTCACTGAAAAATTTTCACGCATTAATTTCCAGTGCCTGCACCCAGAATATTTCTGTAAACTCCACAGAGCGCACGACCATGGAAGATTATGCGATTGTGTTTCTCTATAAATTTTTTTTAACTTTGGTCACTTCGTTACAAAGTTTGTTTTTTTTTTAATATTTTTTTTATGTTTTGTTTTTAATTAGTAATCAGCCGCTCGATCGAACTAGTATCAAACGCTCATGGTCTCCGGAGTAAAATCTTAAAAGGATACATATAGAAAATATACAAATTGTGACACAGAAAATATACAAATTTCTGACACAGAAATTACAATAATTATTTAAAACTTAAGTTATATCTTATGGTACGCTAAAACACGGAAAGTCTGTGAAAATTGTTCATGAATCATTCATGAAACACAGACAGTTAAACATTTTCGGGAAGCTATTCTAAAGATTATAAAATTATTATCCGTCTCGAAGACACGATTTGTATTCGTCAGTATATAATCGAGTATGTGTGTATATGAAAAACAAACAAAGAACAATTTACTTTCCTGTGCATAAGCATGGAAGGGTGAAGAAAAAAAGGAGGAACACGGTGAACCACTTTTTTTTCTGAACACTTTGGCATTATCACCGCTGTCAAAAATGAAATCAAACGGAAATAAATCTCGTTTGAGCATATGATAATATCTTGGATTCAATAATATATATAATATATATATATAGAGATTTCAAACAAATTTACACGTCAAGCAGTCACTATATATATATATATAAACTTTAATCCTCTATGTGGTGCTAGATCAATCTAGCACTATATTTTAAATCGTGTCATATTTACACTAAAAAGTTACGCATTGTAACAATTTTTATGTTTTTATTCTCATTAATTACTTAACATTAAAGGAAAACCATAAAAATAATTTTTGATCCTAAATGTAAGGTCAATGATCTTGAACAGATCTCCTTTGTTTAC